GCTTTCCGACTATCTACATGGTTCGGTAAGCTTTTTAGTACAAAAGTAAAAAAATTTTGTACTAAAAAACTGCTTTAAAAAACAGTAAGAAAGCCATCCCAAACGAACCCTTAGACTCCATGCTTCTAGCTGAAGATTTTCATTTAATATTGAAACTTGTGCTAATTTCAGCATGTGACTTTCTAAAGTATCTTGTTGATTCAATGTATCTTCCATTATTTAGACAGCCATTGGGTATTTTTTATTGCATCTTGAATACTTGCTACACTACAGGATTAAGGTGTGGATGTTATTTAATTATAGTCGTCTTTGTTGTCAGGTGATGCGGTGATTTGTTAGTGGCAAGCCTAAAAAACTCTATTATGGATAATTCTGCTTGTTGGAACTCTGATGCCTATCGCTGTTGCGTTATATGGTCCTTTTACCCAAACTTTTACCCTTGGCTGGTTAATTTTATGCTATGCATTAGAACAAGTGCTAGCGTTCTGTATCATAAATAATAACTCAATTCATATATAGTCTTAGAGAGGATTCTTTAGATTCACTTCTGCTCAAGCCGTTGAACTCCATCTCTCTGGTTCTGTTTAAATTTTCATTTTTATTTAAAATGAAAAGAGTGACTAGAAATAAGAAGGTGACCACGGGCGTAGAAATGTTGTGTTGAAACTGCAGTTCTCTTCATTTAAGATAACTATAGAAGGATTTTGAGGCCAGTTTTGTTATTTTTCTCGCCTAATAAATCTCCATTCGACTTTTCAGAGAAAAAAATCTCTGTCATGAGCTGAGTCCTTGCCTTTTTTTGTTAAATATATAAAGGATATAAAATAAATAGGAAGAAGAATTCTCAATTATGATAAGGAATTTCTTTTATTGTGGTTCATTTAGATTTGGTTCACCCTACTGGAAAGGCAAAACTTTTGTCACGTTTCTGCTCAGATTATCTTTTGTTTAACTTTTCACATATAAAACAGAAATTGGCTGGTAGTGTTTGGTTGTAGTTTGTAAATGAATGAACAGCAGATCAATTTTTGAGCTTCTAAAGGACATGAACTCAAGCATGCGCTGAAGCTAGAAACTGTAAGTTCAATACTAGCTTAATGATGATAAATATGATTTTGATATTGAGATATTTACTGTTTCTGTTAGTTATTTTACCCGTAATATTTGTCATATGCAGATATGTTTCTTGGAAGCTGTTTAGATTATTGGTTTATAAACTGGAGCTCATTATAACGGAAAATATTAATTTGATTTAAAAAATTAAGCAAATGAATGAGGGGGATAAATAGCATATCAATGCTCAATTATACCATAAAACTTTTATAGTTTGATATGTTCATCATGTTTTTCTTTTCCATGAGAATGCTTTATATCTGGCACCATAGTAACAGAAAGGCAATCATCACAAAGTTCTAGAGTGAAATTTCCCTATGATGGAAACAACATACACATACTATTCTGGAAATATTCTAGAATTCCAGATTAAAAGAAAGGTTAGAAAAATAAAAAAAGAACATTTCATATTGTGACACACCCCTCGCTCACTATATTAATTACAAAGCATTTTCTGGGAAAGAAGAAAACAGAAAAACAAAAACCATTGTAGATGTTGGATTAAAACAATTGGATTACTGGGAATGCATTTCATTTATTCAAGGTTCATTTACTTAGAGAATTAGGCAAGTTCTTTGCCTTCGCTTTTTTTTCTTTGGTTTTGGCGGACACAACACCACCTTGATTGCAGAATCAAAAACAGCCTTCACGTTCTGTAGAAAAAAAAATAAATAGTTAAGAGAGAATAAATCTGCATTACCACAGAAGTAATTCTCATCTTATATATCTAAACCCTAAACTCTGCAGCACTTACAAATGAGTTCATCTGTATGCTTCTTCCGACTATTATTACATGAAATTAAATCATAATTTTAGAATCTGTAAGTCGCATATTTCAGTGGTGCATTTAAGTTTGTGTTAAACCATTGAAAACATTACATGTTTTTTTAAAAAAAGCCATGAATTTCGTAAAAGGTTATAGTTCTAATGCAGAGTAGGAGACCAATCATTTAATATTATCAAATACTGCAAACAATCTTTCTGTTATGTAAATGCTTTATTTACTTCTAGAACTTCATGTGCAAACTGCTTTAGCTGAATTTATAAAGCTTCTACGCAATGGCCATTAGGAAAGTTTACCTGTTGGGTCTTTGAGCTACATTCAATATAGGCAGCAGCACCAATCGATTTTTTCAGCTCTTCCCCCTGCTCCAAAAGAAAATATCACTTCTGCATTTTGTAAATAAACCTTATTTATTCCAATCATTCTTGTTTCAGAGATTAATATAATTTGCCTGTGCAGTTGAAATTGTTATTGCGCCCGGGTGGTTCGTGAGGAATTGCTTGTCTTCTCTTAAATCTGCACGGAATCACAAGTAGAATTATCTGTATTGAGCTAGGAAATTTCAATAAGGTGCAATTCATAAGCTAGTAGAATGATGTAAGGTTTATACGTTTTGTGACAATAATGAAATATTTGTATGAATTGCATATGTTCTATTGCATTATTTTCTTACCAAGTTTAGTTCCCACCAACACTATGGGTACACTTGGAGCATAATGCCTTAGTTCAGGAATCCACTGAAATCATTAGAAGCAAAATTGAGATTAGTGGGAACTCCTCTTATCATAATGAAAGAGATTCTTTCTAATGCGTTACAAGATGGATAACCTTCTTGGATATATTCTCATAGCTGGCGCTACTGATTAGTGAGAAAGCTAGTATGAATACATCAGCTCCTCTGTAACTTAGAGGCCTCAACCTATTGTAGTCTTCTTGACCTGCGTTTTAAAGCATAAACAACTGAAGTTAGCTTATATTGTAATGACTAATTATTGCTTCCAGGTCTTCCAGGTATGATCTCATTTAGCGAAAGTAAATAAATAAATAATTGAGGCCTTGTGAGGTTAAAGAGTTATGGATCTTTGCATGGGAATACAAGCTTCCAGGTATGATCTCAGTCTGAGCATCTCAATTTTGCCTGGGAATGGATTAAACTTTCTCTCACTAATTGAACGATAAGTCTTTTTATAATGCTCTCATCCTAATTTCATACCAAATTCCAGTCTTACTTTTCTTAATGACTTAGGTCACTTAAACTTTAAGTGAAACTCTTAGAATCAAGCCTAAGAGTTAGAAAAACTACTGGATGTAGAAATGAGGGCTTAGGGCATCTCCAACCGAAAATCCCATTTTTCACTCCAAAATACAGTGAAACTAAAAAATGTCGTGATTCATCTTCAATCGAACTCCATTTTACACGCTTCTACAAAGGTAGTTGTCTTTCTCCTCATTCACGTGCTTCTTCGACAAATTCGGTCAAGATAGAAAAATAGCGTAGGTGAACAGTGCAACGCCAATATTGGCAATCGCACTGTTCACCCTCCACCGATTAGTGATTTTTTTTACGTTCGAATGGAGCAAATCAGCTACGCCTTACAATCGTTTGGAGTTCAGCTAGAGATGTCCTTACCTGCAGTATCCCACAAGCCAAGGTTCACAGTGCTGCCTTCCACCACCACATTTGCACTGAAGTTATCAAACACCGTAGGGACATAATCCTACACATCATCCGGGAAAATAAAGGCAATGATCAAGAAAGAAACAAAATAGGGATGTAAAATATGGACGAGCGTAGTATGAATATGAATGTTGATAAGAAATTTGTACAGCAATTTTGATAAGGAGCTCAATATATGATTTCTTAAACTTCTTAAACATTGCTTACCGTTGGAAAAGTGTTGCTAGTGTAGGATATAAGCATGCAGGTCTTGCCAACAGCTCCATCACCAATGGTCACACATTTGATAAACCTTGCAGTACTCATCTCAACCAGAAGCTAACTTTCTCTCTTCCTACTCTTCAATTGCAAGCCTATGGATGTTTTATGACTTACCTTTGACCACTTATAAAGCATGAAACATAAAGCAGAAAGACAGGAAAAGAAAAAAAAAATGTTTTTTTTTTTAAATTTAAATAGCAATGGAGGTGGGGATGTAGGGGTGTCAATATTTGACCTCACATGAAAATCCGACATGAAAATTTTGGGTTAGACCTGACCCGATTTCAAAATGGGTCGGGTTCAAGTTCCCGGATTTGACTTATTTGAAAAAATAGGTTGGGTTTGGGTTGACCCGTCAGGTTTTCTGGTCAACCTGAAAGCCTGTTTTAAATGAGCTGATTGTGCTGCCCGCACGCCCGCTCGAGGCTCCCCGCACTCGCCCGCGCTACGCTCGAAGCTACCAGCGGTTGCTAGCTCCCATGCGCGTGCGCCCGAGGCTGCCCACGCTCGAGCCTGCCTGCTGGCACTCGAGTCCATGTTGTCCTGCCGGCACTCGCGTCCTCGCCGTCCCGTCGACACCATCCTCGGGTCAACCGTATTGGGTCAACACGCCGGGTTGGGGTCGATCCGTTTGAACCCGGGTTAATTTCGGGTTCGAGCCTAAACCCGGTTTTGACACTCCTAGTGGGGAGGTTGGGAGGGGAAGAAAGCCTAATTTGATGAGTTGGATTAATCCCCACAAACACCTCAGAGTTTTGCTATGATTAGTAGTTCATTTGGCAGCTTTTGGTTGATCAAAGCGCTATTTTGAATAATTGTGTTCCCACAACAAATATTTTGAATAAAAAAGTATTTTATAGCATTTTATCTTACTATAAAGAAGGAAAAAAAAATTGAGGCCTAAGAATAATGATGGTGAGCACAATGGGTGATGTGTACTACATTTGCTTTAGTGTGTTGCTTTGAGCGCAAGGCCATAGCCTAATCCCCCTATAAACCATCAATCATGGTAGCTTTTGAGTGCTGGTTGGTTGGTGGTTAAGTGTGGGAGAAGAGGTTGAGAGAATGATGGGTTCTTACTTCCTAGCAAGGAAATCGTACTCCTCTTTGCATATATTTATGCTATTAAAATGATGCCTTTTACCATCATTATGCCACCATTAACGCCTTTTTTTCCCCTTTTTTTAATAAGATTTAAGTTATTATATTTTGATATAAATTATATTAAACTGAATTTGAGAATTATTTAATTTGTTTATATATATAACTTGAGCAACATATGATATGGCATAAAGTGGAGCGCGCAATGAAAAGTAATTCTATTGGTATTATTTTGTTTTTGGGTTGTAGGCTTAAAGATTTATTATTTGTATTGTTACTAATGCAATATAGTTTTAATATAGCAAAAAAAAAAAAAACTTTTGTGATAATTTATTGTTGCATTATATGTAGTACCACAAAGGTATGTTGGTACATTGGATTAAAGAAAAAGAAAGGTTAGGTGTATCTTTTGCAAGCTTTGCTTGTTTGAATGGTCTTCAATAGGAATCAAATTATGGTGCTATGATCTTTAGAGTTCCCATAAGATTAGTTAGAACATCAAATGAAATGAGAAAAGAAAAGAAAGTTTACTTCACATGACTTGTAAAGATTGAGGTTTTGTTTGGGACGATTTTTTTACTGCTTTTTTAAAGCGGTTTTTTAGTATAAAAATTTTATTTTTTTACTAGAAAGTTGCTTTAAGAAGCAATAAAAAAATCATCCCAAATGAAACATCAGTAGCAACAAAAAAAGTATGTAACTTTGTCATAAGATTAGTTAGAACATCAAATGAAATGGGAAAAAGAAAAAGAAGCTTACTTCACATGACTAGTAAAGTTTGCCAAATGACAAACCTATGTAAGTAATAGGTAATTTGGAAGGTGTTATATTAATTGTTTGCAGCAACATCACATCAACAGATTGAGAAATAGACAGTAGAGAGGAAGGACAATTATTTTCAAAATAATTGGCCTCATTTCCTCTTGTTTTCAAGTTATTTTCCAGATATTATTTTGCTATATTTGATACCTTCCACTATTGGGCAATAAGCATGAATAATGTGCATCATATCAAGTGCTTGCTTGATATGTTTTTTTTTTTAAAGAGTATAATATTTTTCAAAATTAAATTATCATGAAAGAACAACAACATAAAACTTTTATCCCATGATTTAGGGCAAAATTAAATTATCAAGAGCAGGAAGGTCTCTCCTCTTAGTTAGCTTTTAATTATGTAAATCAATGAACATAAGCGCTTAGGCCTCGTTTGTTTTAACTTTTTTTTTTTCCTTTCCTGTTTAGAAACGAAAAAAATATTTTTTATACGTTGTTTGTATGAGACGCTTCTATAAAAATATTTTTTTAGAAAACTTCATTTTTCTACTGTTTGGAGAAACATTTTGATTTAGTCCAACATGAAACTCAATGAATATTGTATTGACACAATCATATATCATTGCAATCACACTCTTTGAAGAAATCATGATATTCTAGTATTGCAAGGTTGCAAATCTTCTAAGGAACTTCAAATTATTATCATGATTATATTGGCCTAATGCATTTATTCTAGAACTTTCAAAGATGAGTTGCCAATCTTATTATCAACTTATCAACATCTCTAACAGCAAAGTAAGTAAAATGCCCAAAATGTCCTACCAATCTATTACAAAGATCATAGATCTTATGCTAAAGTGTGTTAACTCTTTTAAACTTACAACAATCTTACCATTAACAAACTAAGAAATTAATATACAATAAGAAGATTCCAGCTAATAGCTACCTGCAAGTTTATACTCAAAGTCTGTTTTCAGATAAATTACAAATTGAAGCAGTAGAACGGTAAAAAGCCTGAACTGTTGGAATGGCACTCTATTTTAAAGTAAAATCAGGCAATAGAGGCGCTATAAAAGCAGCCCAGTTCTAATACTCTATTTGAGCACAAAGTACAAACCTGTGGATCACTATCACTTCCATTAAGATAGTTTAACATCCTTGATTCTTCGAACAAGAGCAACATACGATAATTAATAGTTCTTATACTGTTTTTGTCGATCATGAAATCTCTTCAATCTTCCATGCAAATGAAGTCGTAAAATCTGCAGAGAATGGAGCTCCTTTTTCTTCTTTCTGAGCTATCTGCAATAAGGCTGGTGCAAGTAAAACTTTGTCATGCAAATCTGAATTCTGGATTAAATGGAATTGATACTTTATAATATTTATCTTATTTTGTTCTTAATCCTGAATGCCAATGTAACTTGCAAGTTCATTGCATTGGCCTTGCCAATGCAAATCGTGATTCTGGATTGATGGACATCAATAACTCAATTGGAATTGCATCAGGAGGAGGTGGAATGTTGAGCCTTGGCTCAATTAGGCCTGTCAAAGAAAGTTGCTTAGAATCACAAATTGTTATAGCTAATTCAGAGGGTATTATCAATATTATAGGTAGATATTTTTTTTCCTGTGGGCTCACCAGGTGAAAGTTTTTGAGCACCATATAAAGACTTTGCCAAGGGATTGGATGACCAGTGATTCACAGCTACTCTACTTGTGGGTTGGAATCCAATTAATTTTCCATCTGTAGTCAAGACTGCCTGAAAAATATGGAGCATGAAAAGCATCATTAAAAATAAAAATTTATCTTCCAAATGCTACAATTACAATTAATTTATGGCAAAGATAATGTGAATCTAGTAAACATTTGAGAAAACTTCATGACTAACAACGAGAAGCAAAAATGGTTTAAAATAAAAAATAATGTAATTATCATTTTACTCATGCAGCTTTGGCTCTGTTTCTTAGTTATTACTAGCAAGTTTATAGAAAACTGGACAATGGTGCCATTTGACCAAGATCAATGTTTTGTAGGCTGATTGGGGTTTCACCTACAGTTGCTTATGTGGATCTAGCCAAGTCCATCTTTCTCATTGTTCTTGGTTGACCATGAAGGCTTGCTTTTTTTTTTTTTGGATCACGAAGGCTTTACTGTTCGGCCGTAATCTTTCTCGATCAAACAAGAGCACATGTGGCGGTCCAAGGAAAATTGCCACAAAGGCGCAAGCAAAGGCTCGGCGAGCCTAAAGAGTATTATTTTGTACTCAATGTTTTATCTCATGGCCAATCAATATAATTAATTTTGACTTTCCAACCATCTTAGCAACAATGGGATACTATTAACAGTGCATCATATCATTTTCACTAGACTCCAGGTGGTGTGTGGCATGTCCCCAGAAAGTGTAGGCAATGGCAAACATATTGGATACAAATGTGCCTCAGAATATTTAGGCTGAGGGATTTGAATAATTATTTTCAAAAATAAATAAATAAATTATAAAAATTACCTGATATCTAGCAACATCTGGAGCAGTTTTCTGCAACTCAATGTCGCTAGCTGCTGAAGGATAATCCACACTTGGGAGAAGCTCTGCTAGACTCTCTCCACCAGAAATTGAAGAAGGAACTTCACTGGAAATGGTATCCACCACAAGGCCCTTGTTTCTCAAGTAACTTGGAAGTGCCCCAATCCAGACACCTATATTCTGGTCAACAATTATATCCTCAGGCCAACCAAGTTCTCCTTTTATCTTCTTGATGATTTCGATGCATAAAGCTTCAAGCTATTCAAAAATTTTTTTGAAATTAGATAAAAGGTCTTTGATTGAAGAGGCCTTTACACATAATTTACATTATAATCTTCTAGGAGTCCAATTACATTGAATTGAAATGCTCCTTGACCCTAGAAAGTAAAATCCACAGATTACCTTGCTCAGGCAATCCTGAAAGTTAACCCGAATATCATTAGTCTTGAAATTTTCTAACAAGCATTTCCATAACATATATGATCCTCAGTTATAGCCATCGTCATTGTTAGCCCTGCCCCAACTCTTTCTAGTATTTATATGGTTTTATACCAACTTATGGTAGGTAAACTTCCAACAAAGCTGCGTTGGACCATGCTATGCATTTCAAAAAAACATTAGTACATTCTACTGCAGATAGACTGATTGTTTTAACCTGGCCACTTCTTACCAAGATTTGTATGGTTAATGGCTTCATTCCAATGCAAAAAGAAAAAAAAAATGACGCAAAGAAACTAGTTTGTGTTTGTTTCAATGGCAATGGATTCGAATTTCACATAAAAAAGGCAACTCTACACGCTTAGATTACATGATAGGAAGACACTTCACGGTGAATACATTGTTCAATTCTCACATGGCCATCTAAGAATATAAATTTTTTTCATCCTCATATAGTGGAATAAACACTAGTTGCTGTAATCCGATTTCTCAAGCCAATGTTAAAGTACTTGAGTTTTTACTTTCGTATCCAGCAACTAGTTGCGCTACTGTTATACCATTATGTAAATATATAAAGTCACTCTTAAAATTGAAGGGGCTAAATTATACCATGAAACTTGAAAAATTGAGAAGTTAAAATAAAATAAAAGCATGACTTTACTGCATTAGAATTTTAAGCCAACATACCTTACTACTCTCAAGAGAATTAAGACGGCTGCAATTTGCTTCTGATAATGAAGGAACATTTTTCAATTCTAAAACTTTTCTTGCGTGTTTTGGCCAACAAAGCTGAGTAACAATACTGAAAATCATAATGGCGCATCCACCAGCAAACACAGCAAATAATAGATTCCACGGTGTACTCTGTAACATACGACCAATGTAGAAAAACCATATAGTATTAAGCTTCATATTTACTTTTAGTTTGAAAATACTAGCTAAATTTGATTTTATTTGCTTTTCCATGTAATTCTAATGTAAACACTAATTTCTCATGTTACCATGGAGAAGCCTTTAATCCATATATGGCAATGCTCAGCAATTAATAACAAGTTACTGTAACAAAACAGGTCCTTTAAGGAGAGGAATATCAATACCTTACTCTTTAAATTGGCTGGGGCTTCCGTAAAAAAGTCGCATAAAAGCCTTTTGTTTGGCATTGTATAGCGATCTTCATAAAACATGTCAAGAATGTTTGCCAGTTCAACCTGCAGCTCTTAAATAATTCAAATTGCAAGATTGATCAATAAAAACTTAAGTAATTTCTAACATAATAAAATATACTATAAGACCAATGAAGAAAATCAAGCACAAAAAAAGAAAAAAGTCAAAGCAAAAAAAAAAAAAAAGTGATATGTTAAGGAAAAATGAACCATACCTCAGAAAAAACATGCTAAATGCTTAACTATATCCTGATTTCCAAACAGCCCATAACAATTGATATAAGATTACATTTTAATTACAAAAGACAAACAGTAAAGAACAGTCATACAAAGGGTTATTTTTGATACAAATGTCACAGTTTAATTTGGAGTAACTCAAATTGCGCAAGTCATTACCCTAGCTTCATCTGGAAATTTCCCATAAATATATACAAAGAATAAATAATCTTTTTGAGTGTTAGGAAGGCTGGTAAGTTTACTCAAAGTTTGGAACTTCCATGAGTTTTGTATTGATTAAAATTAACTTCATAATTAGATATAACACTACATAAAACATTTAGTAAGATGGTTCATAAAGCCTAGCTCAAATAGTTGGGATTATGCTAATAATGGTGGAAGTGGTGAGGATGATGATGCATACATATAGATATAAACACATAGATGCATGTGTTTATGTATATATGGACACCCTTATGCATCCATACATGTTCTTATGCAAAAAAAAATTGAGTTGTATTCAAATTAAATCTTTCTAATTTAGAGCAAAATATATTCCCTTCAAACTATATTTAAATAATTGAATGATGTTTGATTGATTATTGACCAAGTTTTGTGCATTTCCTAGCTCTAATGTGATTCTCAGTACGCAAAGTATGGGACTGCTTCTATTTTTTGATAAATTTATTTGTTTTTGTTAGGCTTACATAGCAAGTTTATGTTCTTACGTGTCCAAATATTTACAGGGATTCTTGCAATCCAATGAGGTCCACATATTTGGATATGCCCGAACAAAGATATCCAGCGAAGAATTAAGAGAGCGACTTCGTGGGTAATATTTTATTTCTCGAAGTAACCTGTTAACTTGTCAATAATTAAATATCAAATGTAACATTATTGTAGTGCATCTTACATTAACTCTTTTTGTAACTCATATCAGGGCCAACATTTTTTTATCATCTAAGAAATCTGCCCTAGCATGGAATCATTTCCTCTCAAATTCGTGGAAGATTTCAAGAATTGAATTTAAAAGCCTTTCAACTAAAGCCAAAAATATATATTTTCCCACTAAGTCTACGTCTCACAATTGAATTATTATGACCAAACCTTCTTAAAACTAAATTGTAGTTATTAAAGTTCTCTCCAATTAAATTGTCTTCAAACCTCTTCAACAAATCAATCGTAGCATATCAATGCGGTTAGCTTTCTCATGCAAATTAGTTTGTTTGAGCAAATCATACTTTGTGGGAAACTTTCGACTTTTGTCCGAAGTCAAGAGAAGGTTTTACAATATTGCAATAATGATTAAGAGAATGCAGTGAATGACATAGAAGCCAAACATCAAAATTAACAACAAATAATTGCTTAATAATTTACTCATTATTATAAATATCTCCATCACATATGTCATTACACCAAGTTCAATTATGCATGACTACTTATCATGCCATGAAAAGAAATACAACTGGAAACTTGGCATCTGTGAGAGTTCATGCACTCCTAATAGCTGTTGAAACCAGTCCTTCACATACTCCCAACTGCCGTCTAAGTGGCGCTTCTACTTTCCAAAATGAACGTGCTTTATCATGCACTCAATTTTCCCTATTGGAATAAAAAAAATATGATCCTCTCTCCTATGAAAGACTAAATATAAAGTATATCAAATGACTGCCCTTACATTTGTTGGGCAAATGCTATCATCATCTTCACCACAGTTCCAATGAACACACACATTTAATGGATACAGATTCATGTGCTGATAATTTTACAAAGTAAGTATTGTAAAATTTTTTCACATGGCATGAGGAGTCCAGTGCCTCTTAATGAGATCATGTGTAGTCATATGCATTCAAAGTTGCTTTTCAATTACAAGCTTAGAAATTTATTATTGAAAATATACAACAAAATTGTTTTTTTTTAATCTAAAATTTTAAGTTTAACTCACAAAACACAATTTTTTTCCACCTATTAGATATTGGTGGATCTCCTTTGCCTCAGTTTTCATGGATGACAACTAGTGATGGATATCCAGACAACCTTCCAATTAGTGACTGATACTTGTCACCACCATGGGTGTATCACCCGATGCTTGTTACCACCGTCGGTTTACCACTCACAACCTCTCCTTTTGATCTAGATTTATTGGTGGTTTGGGATTTGTTGTCCATGCTTCGCACCATGAAAACTCATGCAAGCAACTCTAGGCATTCAACCTCATCACAGACTTTGGCTTATGATCCCCTTGGTTATAGTAAGGATTCCGAGGAACTTGTATCTTTTTTTGTTTTTTTTTAATCCTAAATTCAATAAATCAGGCCTATTTTTGTAATTAAGCATTATTATGAATTTTATGCTATATGTCAATGCATAGAAAAATCACGGAATGAGACGGATCTTCAATAAAGTAATTCCTACTTTAAGTTCATTAAAAAATTAATTTTTGCTTATCTTGATATTCTTGTGCTCTCTTCTACTTTTTAATCTCCTACATCTTTATACCTTCATCCTAAGTAGCATCGTGTAGATCTAGGATTTAGAGCTCTCATCCAAGGTTATTTTTATGGCTAACTATGATATTAATCTCAATATATCAAAATTAGGCAAGTAAATGTCATAATCATCCGAACTTAAAAAATGGATCTTCTTGCAACACTTTTTTTTCTTCTCTAGATTTCATATCATCAATCAGTCAACTTGAGAATTGCAAAAGTCTCATATGTTTATCACTCATTTACTCATTCGACAAGGAATGAAAATTTATCATCTAATTGTTTTGCTCATCGAACTTTCACATACATAAAAATTTTGTAAAATCATTTTGAATGTTACAAAAAAATTTGCTTGATTGCCTAATACGATTTGAACATCAACTAAAACAACCTACAAGCTCTTGAAACACATATAGACGCTAATTTCTTACAACAACAACAACATCAAGCCTTTATCCCACTACGTGTGGTCGGCTACATGAATCTTTTTTCTCCATTGTGTCCTATTAAAAGTCAAATTCTTGTTTAAATCTAATAAAGAAAGGTCATTCCTAATATTTTCTAACCAAGTCTTTTTAGGTCTACCCCTACCTTTCTTAACACAAGTCAAATCTAATACCTATACTGTCCTAACCGGGTCATCGGAAGGTCGCCTTTTTATGTGACCAAACCATCTAAGGTGACTCTCTCTAATCTTATCTTCTACTGGAGCTACTCCAACCTTTTCACATATATATCTATTTCGTATCCTATCTCTAAGGGTCAAGCCACTCATCCACCTGAGCATCCTCATCTCTGTCACACTTAACTTAGTATTATGCTTCTCTTTTAAAGGCCAACATTCGGCACCATAAATCATTGCAGGCCTCACTACCATCTTATAGAATTTTCCCTTAAGTTTGAGGGGTACATTTCTATCACATAACAAGCCCGATGCATTCCTCCACTTCAACCATCCAACTTGAATTCTGCTGATAATATCCCCATCTATTTCACCATCACTATGAACAATAGATCCAATATATCTAAAATGTTTACTTTTATTAATGATTTGATCGCCCAAAGTCGTAATCCCTTCAGTAGGTTTATTACTACTAAAATTACACTCCATATATTCCGTTTTAGATCTACTCAAGCGAAAATCTTTAGTCTCTAATGTTGACCTCCATAATTTAAGTTTACCTTCAACTCCCTCTCTAGTCTTGTCAACAAGAAGAATATCATCAGCAAAAAGCATACACCAAGGTACATCTTCTTGCAAATGTCTAGTGAGAACATCCATGACTAAAGCAAAAAGATATGGGCTTAAGGCTGATCCTTGATGTAACCCAACTGAAATAGGGAAATACTTGGTCAATCCACCTTGTGTTTGAACACAAGTAATAGCTCCTGCCATACATATCTTTAATGATTTGAATATAAGCATTATTGACTCCTTTCTTTTCAAGAACTCTCCATAGCACTTCTCTTGGAACTTTATCATATGCTTTTTCTAAATCAATAAATATCATATGTAGATCCTCCTTATTTTCTCTATATTTCTCCATCAAACCTCTTAATAAATGTATGGCTTCCATAGTCGACCTACCCGGCATGAATCCAAATTGATTTTGAGAAACATTAGTATCACGCCGCAACCTATGCTCCATACTTTAAACAGTAAGAAAGTGATAATAAGAGTTTTTTTGGCATCCTCTAGTCCTCCTACTTTAAACTCTTTCTTTCAAAGACAACTATTAATTTTTAGATTGAGTGACCACCCTATAACTTATAAAGGGTTTAGAAGGGTCTCCTCTAATTTTCTCTTATGAGTTATGACCCACCATTTTGAGGGAGCTTTTCAGCTTTTTTAATGGCTAGAATAATTCATTTCCTCTATATCAATGGCTTAGAAGCTCGCTTAGAATTTATAAATATTCCTCACCAAGAATAACTTTAGTTCGCTAATAGGAACTTCATGCAGCCATGTTATATATTTCAAGATAATAGAATTGTCTTTCAATATATGCCAAATGCAAATACTTTTCTACAAAATACGGTGGTATAAGTCGTTTGCTCACATCTCTATTTCAGTTATGGCCATCATATCCACTTATCTTCATCTTAGTACAAAACTAATTATACTCTAAACAGTTACCATGTCACTATAGATGAGTAGTAGCTCTTGGACTCAAGAGTTGCACAGTATAGGAGCATGCGAGGCATTTTAAAATTGACAAAAGGCATTATACTATGCATGATTAAGCCACCATTTCCTTATGTTTATCAAATTTATTTTCTATACTTTTTAGGTCAATTGATTATCATTGTGGCGTTGTCGGCTCTTCAAATTCAACAAGTTTTTGGATGGTGGTTCTAATTTTAAATATTACAAAATAAAAATTTCTCACATATTATATCAGATGGATGCTCTGATACTTAATTATGATTTAGATCAACTAAGGGAGATTAGTGTCTAATCTTCCAAATGAATGAGATCAGAAGAGGATTGTCGGGCTAAGATAATATTTGGAGCTAAAGATGATTAATTTGAAGTTAACAGAGAAGCTCAAACAAATTTCACACAAACATAATTGCCTACTAGCAAAGAATTAATAGTAGGGATTAATCATTTTTAGGGTATTAATGGAGTTTTTGAGTTTACAAGATTCAAAGGACTTGTGAATCAACCAACCTCAGGCTCAGGATAATGGAAAAGACTTTGGCTAAGCCTAAAAATACAAGGAGATGAATTACTTAGCTAGAGGCGGCTTACTTTTATGCAAAATCAAGAGAGATTGTAAATGGTTTTAGAGCTTCCTCTTTGATACATCTTTCTTACTTGAACTCCTTTATCATTCCCGTTGGAATTAAAGTGCCTCCTTGCTACTTGTACATTTAGTTTTAGGAGTTGAGGTCTCTCTCTTGGGCAAAGAGAGAAATAGGTGAAAAAAGAGGGAGATGCAATTATGCTTAAAAGGTGGCTTAGATATTTGAGAACTAAGATAAATATTGTATTCATGATGTAAGTTCATCCTAAAGGACCCCGATTACACTGATAGGAAGTCCAATAAAAGTAAACCAAAAAATTCCAATAAAAACATAATGATAACCTATCTCATAAGCAATACTTAAGATAATAACCATAAACCATAATCAAATTCCTAAAATTGAGGTATTAGGTTTTGAATTGATAAATTATTCATTTTCCCTTTAATTGGCAGGCCAAAAAGGAAAGAATTGGCAGGCCAAAAAGGAAAGATTTGGCAGAGCGATTTGTTGAATAAGATTTGATATCCTTTGATTTAAACAATAATCCTTTTCTCTCTTCCAACTTAGTTGAAGGTAGCTTTTGGCCCATTCAAATTGATTTCCTTCCATACTAGGTAACCCCTCCTAGAAATTTGATGGTGCAATTTCAATTTGAGACCTTTTAAGTCAAATTATAGCCCTTATGGGATGATTCATGGGCTTTCTTGCTTCGTGCTCGGATTCTTGTCATGATATTGAGTTAATTTTGTTTGATATATTTTGAAGTTGCGACCCTCATAAATTAATTCTATCTTTTTATATGATCTCATATGTTGATACCGTATTTGTAAAATAAACTAAAAAATGAGAAATCTCCTCACAATAGTTAGCAAATTAACTTCATAGTATATATAAATTCATAACCAAATACAATCACATGGCATTGCACAACAAAAAGACATCTGGTAACCATCACACACAAATAATAACCATACATATATAAACTATAGACACAACTATAGCATATAGATCACACAGATGGTGAAGGGTAAGCAAACCATTAAAGTTGATGAAAAACTCAATGCTTAGCCTAATTTTGGCTGATTGAACAAGACTGAAAAATACTTTCTAAAGTTTCAAATAAATGAAGAAGCGTTGCAGAAATATTATATAGAGCAATATCATAAAGGCATAATGAAGAGATATCAATAAATTTGTATGTTATAAAAGGAATTAAATATTTGTATTCACAATAATTAAGCCACTGACAATCCAATCGAGGTAGGCAGAAATGAGCATGTTATGATGCGAAATAATTAAACTAAAGAGAATAAAGATAAGTATCTATTAAAGATTTTTTTTTTAAGTATCTATTAAAGATAAGATATTGGAAAGCATTTTATTGGAAAGATGATAAGATTAGCATATATTAAAGATAAGTTATCTTAAAATAAACTAAGATGGTATCTGAAATACTACAAAAGGTTGAGAAGTATTAATCAGGGGGCAGATAAAATTAATACACAATGATAAGGAAGAAAAAAGAGACACCAAAGATAAAATCCTACAAGTTCTGCTAAAAAATTGCACAGAAAAAAATAAAACCCCATGTAATGCTCAATATAAATATATACGAGGACATAAAATTGGCCTAAATATTTTGAAATAATTATGGAGTCACTCATAATAATGATGTATATAACATGGTTATCAAATATGAAAAGTAATGCATGCAAGTCAGGAATAGTGAAGGGAAGAAAAAATATACCATCTGATAGTGGGTTAAGAGAACCTCCCACTTATTGTCCGCCAAATTGTGGCATCCTTCAAGCCTCACATCCTCAAAAGAATTGGTATCAATTTGCAGCCTATATGCAGGAATGAATTCACAAGTCCAAGAACCAAATCCCGGACCTCCAATTGAATCCAAACTTGAATAATCAGGTGGCAGCCACCAAGTATATTTCAACTTCTTAGACCTGTTTACAAATTTCCCTTTCATTAATTTATACATTTCAACTTGATTCCTTGCTTCTTTTGCTACCTCACTTTCAGAAATTCTACATATAGAAATGGGTGAATCGATTGAGTTCTTTGGGGGCTTCTGAAACCAATGAAATGTATATTTTGAATGCAAACCACCTGCATCTCGAACGTAATTACTTTTCACACTTTTTAGAGCAAAGCAAGAGACAACCTCAGCTAAAGATGAAATGAACTTCTCATTAGATGAATTCACAACAATACCAGCCTGGGCCTGCTAAATAGACTAATACATCAGAAAAATATTGCTAAAACTACACTCCCTAAAGACATTTTGAGAAGCATGACAACCTCTCTTGTGTTTTCAAGGTCTTCCATGTTTCTCTCTGTGCCTGGACAGAACAAGGTGAGCTGGAAGCTCCACAACTGCTGCAACACAACTTGTCTAAATGTCATCGCAAGGATATTCTTGGAAACAGCATCCTTACTGTAAAGGATATTTCTAGCGAGGCTACTTCTTAGTTTCCTTGCCTTCTCTTTCACCATTTCTGCAGGTAAAAACTGTCAAAATGCAAACATTCACTTTAAATGCAAGAACATTGCAATTAAAACTTTGAAATAAACGAATGCTTGATTCAAAAGCAAAGTTTAGAGCTGGTAATTTAATTTAAAGACTGAGTATCTTGAAAATTGGATATACTTTACTGAATAGAGCTGAGACAGAAGCAATAAACTTGCTAAGAAGCACGATCCGCTTTTTATCAAACTTGAATTTCAGTCAAATGTTTATATATGTATTTACATTTGAATTATATATATATATATATATATATACATGATAAAAATATTCAACAAAACATCACACAACCACTTGACAGTGCTACCATTACCTAGTATGACAATGCTTATCCTAACCATTCATCCAAAACAGACTATTCTACATAGCTGTCCGCCCCAGACAAACTTTAAACCATTTTAACTAACCACAGCTAGCTCTCTCTATAAACGAAAGCACTGCCTTCTGTATAATGAAGAAAAGAAAATACAAATGAATACTTGTTTGCCTAACATCTTCCTTTATGCTCATCTCATCTCGTCTATCTTAATAGCTTACTGGAGTGTTCATGGTATAAGAGCTATTGCCTTACGACGACATCATCCTGTTCTTAGAGGACCATCCATCCTCCCAAAAAACTCACCATCAGTCCTCGCTTATGGGTCCCATCACTTCGTCCACCACCAAGAGCGATGCTAGCGCCACTCTCAAGTCAACATATCAATTCCATCACCCCTCAAATTTCTAATGTCTAATGTCAAAAACACTATCAAGACCCAGCTCACAGCGGACAATCATCCCACATGGCTTTTACAAACCCCCTCAAGCTCTAGTTTGATGGAAGCACACCTTGTTAAGCTAGTCAAAATATAAATGATGATGCAAACATTTGGTTGAATCTTCAATGCACTAAATATCTTCATGTCGATCTAAATATGGTTGTCTCCTTGTACTCAACAGTCTCACTTTCTACTCTCACCTATATGCTCAATCTAGATTCATCCACTAAACTCTAGACTACCATAGACCGCTGTCTACATTCTATCAAATCATTATGGAATCATCCAACTTAAAAACGAGCTCCACCATATCTCCATGACAGACCAAATAATGACCCAATACCTCTCAAAAATTAAGGCAAAGGTAGATACAAGCATTTTCTTCAGCTTACCTCTTAATCCTGAAGATATCAACTTGCACTCTCTAAACAAACTTCCTCTATCATATCAAGCTTTTAAAACCGCTATACGAACACAAATCTACAATACATTAGCCTTGATGATCTCTACTCCTTGCTATGCAGTTAGGAATCTAATTTAGCAACTGAAGCTACTCATGCACTTCTTATCTTGCAACCACCTTGCTCTCATCATATGGTGCAAATGATGAATAGGGGGTGTGACTGAGCATGACAGCCCAACTTCTCTTTAGGGAAGCGTGGATCTCCAAATATGTTCAAATCAATTTGACAACCCAACTTCAATCCCAAGGGAGGAAGGATGTAGAATCCCCAAATTGAATCTCAAATCAATGGAAAATTTGCAACCACCTTGCTTTCATCATATGGTGCAAATGATGAATAGGGTGTGTGACTGAGCATGACAGCCCAACTTCTCTTTAGGGAAGCATGGATCTCCAAATACATTCAAATCAATTTGACAACCCAACTTCAATCCCAAGGGAGGAAGGATGTAGAATCCCCAAATTTAATCTCAAATCAATGGAAAATTGGGACATTCCACTAGTAAGTATTGGAATTTGGCTGAATTTGATTATCACAACCTATAAACCATGTTCGCTGACTCATCACAACATACTGCGGAGTGGATACTAGACTTAAGAGTTACATCCCATCTCGCCTAGTATTCAACCAAGTTCATTGACTCTGCCCCCTATTCAGGATCTCAATAGGTGATTTTTAGCAATGGGCAAACACTACACATCTCCAACCTAGGTCAAGGTATCCTACCCGCCCCAACTCATAAGTTTGCTCTTCCCAATCTACTTCATGTCCAAAATCTCTCATACAATCTTTTATCAATTCACCAACTAACTGCTGATATTTTCTGTTTCAATTTTATTTGACACCACTAGCTATAAAATCTTTGAACAAAAAACCAAGCAAAGTCTCCTTAAAAGGACCCTGCCATCAAGGTCTACCTAATTTAGTAGACCCCATTGTCTCAATCAAGGCTTTTAAAACCGAACCGGTCAATGAACCGGAAGGAGGGGTTAGTGGTTTAAAGGTTCGACCTGGGTCGAACCGGATGATGTAATAAATAATAAAATTAATATAGTAATATGACGATCTAACCTTAAACTTAAACACAAGTTCATCATATCATACAAATCAAGTATCTAAATTAAAAATAAGTTGGAGGTTATTTTATAAATAATATAATTCATATTTAAAATAAGATTAGTTCACATATATATGTTTTAAATTTAATATAAATAATTTCTAATTTATTTCTATGTTTAGATATACTTTATACTTATGAAAAGTATACAAAATTTTCATTATAAGATTATATCTATATTTTTCATGTTATATTATTTAATACTAAAATAAAGATAAAAATTTTAAAAAATATATATTAGATAATTAAATAAAATGAAAACAATAATACATAAATATTAAATATTATTTGTATTATTAAACGAAAGCACTGGTCTCATTGCTTGTCCTCCATACTTGCTTTATTTTCCAATCTCTGCAGCAACAAAGCATAGCAACATATGCATGACCATCCAACCGAACCCGCACTCACTTTACTTGCTAAAAGTCAACCGTAGTTACATACTCCCAACAAGTCTAAATCATGTGTTTCATGTAACCTAGCTATGTAATGTCTCCACAAATCATTATTGTGTACCTCCAACTCTCAATCTACAAATAAAGGCTATAAATATCTAAATCCTATAAATGTTAGAATCATTATCTCACGCCATGTTGTTTTGCATGAAAATATCCTTGTCTATCATAACGCTTCCAACTCAACCCATAAATATCAATTAAGACCGACACTTGTTCTCACCTATAGTCATAACACCACACCCTAACACAATCACCACTCCACCCTGCAACTACCTTCTGCCTAGCACAATACGATCTCAACATCATCTCCACTACCAAAAACATGGACATGCCTTCTTCACAAATTAAGCAACCACCATTACAATCATTATCCTCTGCTAATCTCTAAAGTTAAAAATGAAAAATGAAAGCGGGCCATGTCAGATAAGTTCAATGCCTTACAGGCCCAAGGAACACGGAGTCTCACACCACCACATACTAGCAAAAACATTATTGGTAGTAAATGAATCAACAAAACCAAATACAACTCCGACGACACCATCACAAGACACAAAGCATGGCTAAAAGCCCAATGATTTAACCATGAACAAGATTTACATTATCATGAAATATTTAGCCCTACAAGCAAAATATCCACTATCCAAATTCTTATCATGGTTATTATTCATCTCAATTGACCGATCACTCAATTGGATGCTTCTAATAGGTTCCCTCATGTCAATTTGATGGAAATAATTTACATGGCTCATGCAAGGTTTTCAAGATCCTCTTCACCCTCATCGTGTGTCTCATAAAAAAAAAGCTAAATATCGATTTAAGCAAACTCCTCATCAATGATACACCATACAGTTCAACTATCTTCTACAACTTGAATTCCAATTTAGTGCCGTAGAACCTCCCTGTGACTGCACAACAAAGATGGTGTCAACATCTACATCCATATTTATGTTAATAATCTTCTCCACACTAACAATAATTTCAAGGTTTAACCCAGTATTTTTCTATTTCAATTGTATTACATCAAGGGCCCGCTTCAAGCACATATCTTTTTGCCTTAGTCATGCATGTTCTTACTAGACATTTGCAAGAGAATGTACCTTGGTGTATGCATTTTATTGATGATATTCTTTCTGTTGATAAGGTTGGATAAGGTTGGATAGGGAGTTGATGAAAAACTTGAATTATATAGGTCACCTTAGAGTCTAAAGGTTTTCGTTTGAGTAGATCTAAAATCGAATACATAGAGTGTAATTTTAGTAGTAATAAATCTAGTGGTGATATTGTGAAATTGAATGATCAAGTCATTAAAAAGAGTACACATTTTAGATATCTTGAGTCTATTGTTCAAAGTGATGGTGAAAATTTTAAGGAAATTATTAATAGAATTCAAGTTAGATGGTTGAAAAGGAAGAATGCATTGGGCCTGTTGTGCGATAGAAAAGTGCCCCTCAAACTTAAGAGAAAATTTTATAAGATGGTGATGAGACTGCAATGCTTTATGACAGACAATGTTGGCCATTAAAAAAGAAACATAAAATTAAGTTAAGTTTTGCAAAGATGAGGATGCTCAAGTGGATAAGTGGCTTTATACTTAAGAGACATAATGCAAAACGAGTATATACATGAAAAGGTTTGTGTAACTCTAATGAAAAATAAAATTAGAGAGACTCACCTTAGATGGTTTGTTCATATAAAATGTCAACCTTCCAATGACCCTATTAGGAGAGTAAATGTATTAGATCCGTCCTATGTTAAAAAAATGTAGAGATAGACCTTAAAAAACTTGTTTAGAAATTATTAAAAATGATTTTTTTATTAGATTTAAATGAGAATTTGACTCTTAATATGACACAATAGAAAAAATTGATTCATGTAGCCGACCCCAAGTAGTGGGATAAACACTTGTTGTTATTGCTGTTAGCAATAATTCAACTACAATAGCTGATCTCCTACAACACCACCATCACAAGTTAACAATGCACAACCTAGAACTTACCTTTTGACTTCTCGACATTCAAACTATTCACATGCCATATGGACTTTATCATTGAAAGTCCAAATATGCTCTTAATTTCCTTAAGTGAGCTAGAATGAGCAATTGCAAATCACTCTCAACTCCCAACTTCACCAATTTAATCTCCATAAAAAAAACTAAATGCAGAATTTGCCAAATCAAAATTCTATTGTCACCTCATCAACTCCCTCCAATACTTCACGATTACAAATAGGAAATCTCATTTGCCATAAACCATCTTGGTCAATAAATACATCATCCCCTTAATTAACATTTTAATCTCCTCAAATAGCTACATTGTTATATCAAAGGAGCTATGGATTACAGCCTCCCACTCTATCAAGACAACATCTAGCTATAGGCTACTTAGATTCCAATTGGATTTTTGATCCCATTGATTGAAAGTCTACCTACTTAGATTCAAATTGGATCGTTGATCCCATTGATTGAAAGTCTACAATTAGGTATTGCGCTTTTCTAAGTATTAAGCTTATTTCCTGGTGTGTAAAGAAGCAACCTATAGTCACAAATTCCTTCACATAAGTAGAATATAGAGGTCTAGCCACCACCACCACTGATCTCATATGCTTTGTTGACTTCTACCGGAATTCAATTTACTCATCAGCTCTCCCACACTTCTATACTATGACAATATTTTCACCTTGGTGCTTGCCAACAATCCCGTCTGTCATGCCCACAAAAAACATATCGAGGTGGATTAACACTTCATTTGTGATTGTATCAAATCTCAAGAATTGTTTGTTCATCACGTGGCATCCCAAGACCAACTGGTAGATAGACTAACCAAAGCATTTCCTACTGCATGATTGATTAATTTATGGGACAAGATGACACTCCCATCTAGGTCAATCATCTTGAGGGAAGATAATTACAGCATTCACCAAAACATCACATAACCACTCAACAATATTACCACTACCTAACAGGGCGATGCTTAACCTAACCATTCATCCAAAACAACTACTTTACCACAGCCATCCACTCCAAGCAAACTCTGAACCATTGCAAACAACCACAGATAGCTCTCTCTATAAAAGGAAGTACTGTATCATGTATAAAGTCGAATAGATAATACAAATGAAAACTTGTTAGCCTAGCATATCTTCCTTTCTCCTGATCTTATATATTGGTATTAATGCAGTTTTCAATGTATGTATTTATCGGCTGAATCAGAATTCATCCACATATGATCAAACCAGCCAATAGCCAAATATGATTCTGCTTATGATCAGTAAGAGTGATTTTGAGCTGATCGTTAAATCGTGCGCAGCCCCAATAAAGATAAAAGAAAAGTATAATAATCTGGATTTCTTTTCGTAAGATACTGACCAGCCGAGTGGATACGGTGCTGTGCTCATCGGAACCGCTGGGAAACACAGTCTCGATGACCATGGTGGAAGTTCCCGCAGCGAGGTGCTCATCCGCAGCGTCGCCGCCATCGGCGGCGGCGGCGATGAGGGCCTGGTCGAAGCTGACAGATCCTATGAGGGTGAGGCAGGCAAGGTCCGTCTCGTAGGAACGGACGGCAGGGAGGTGAGTCCTCGCTTTGCCAGTTGAGTCGTCGAATTCGCTGAGGATATGGAGGAGCTCCTGGTCGATAATGGGTAGGGCGCGGATCTGCAAGCGGCAAGAGGAGAAGCGTCGTGCATTCTGGTTTTTGGTGAAGAAGAAAATGTTGTCGTAATTGATTGGGGGCGAGGAAAGTCGGAATAGGGGAAGAGAGGGGAGGCGGTGAGGAGAGCCATGGAGAAGCGGCATGTCTTGAAGTATAGTGTTTCCGATCAGAGAGGAGAAAGGGTTTTAGGGCTTTTGGATTCCAGAGCCTACTCCCAATCCGAATTAATTGAGTTTGGACCGGGGTTATGAAAATTAGTAGCAGCCTACAAGGTAATAGTGAAATTATTACGTGTGATTATCAGATGTCGTATAGAGATAGAATCAGAATGTGTCGTATCATTTTTTTGATACAGTGGTGTATTAGATGATGTAACACATCCTGATTCACCTCCGAACTATCCGATGATTGAATAATTTATGAAGTTACTGGCATACAAGCATATCACACTTACATAAGCTTAAAATGGTTAAGCATTTTTCCCTCGGTGGTTCTATGCACGGTAGATAAAAAATATATAATTTAATTTACTATGCACGGTATTGAAAAAAATGTTATTTAGCATTTATTTTTTGTTATGTAAGAATATTTGTGATGATAGAAAGATAGAGAGAGTATAGGAAATTTTTGAAAAGGGAAAAACATCGGAGCATAATATAGTTAAAGTAATTCTTCTAGTATTTGTAATTGATTATAAGAGAAGCCCGCCCTTAAAGAAAAGATAGTGATATATTGTAAAGAATATATTAGTTTGTTGAAATTGAAAGAGTCATTTCACAAGAATCCAATACAAATTTGTGTTGAAGTTGATAGTCATGGTTGATGTCGATGACTTGCATCAATCTTATAAATGATGGCGTGTTTTACTGTTATTAGCAATAGCAGGTGATAAAGCTGATAGTCTCTCTTCAGACAACTAAAGGTCAAACAATAATGAGTCAAATTCAAGTTTAACTTCTATTAGCATCAACTTAATCTAATTAACAAGTGAAAAACTTAAAAAAATGAACCAAAAAATCTCTAATTAGAATTTATTACAAAAATACTGATTAATTGTGTTGATATTTGTAGAAGTTCATGATCCAGCAAGAATCACGGTAATCACCAAGAACCAAGAGAAGAGGGAAAAGTAAAGAAACAGAAAGTATTCTTATTATTTCCTACATGCTAATACATGTGAGTATATATAGAGTTTAAGAGTAATGTAACACAGACGGCTACAGTTAATAAGACATAGGAAACGATTACATTGTTTATTATTTATTGCTCTAATACGCCCCTGCAAACTGAAGGGTCTCTAGTGACTTTTAGTTTGTGTCGAAGCTGCTGAAACCTTGGTGTTGAGAGGGATTTTGTGAATATATCTGCGACCTGATCAACTGTGCTAATGGGAAGTATTCTAATGTGTTGTTGTTGAATGTGATCACGAACAAACCGGTGATCTATTTCGATGTGTTTCATTCGAGCATGAAACACCAGATTATTTGCCAGAGCTATGGCAAACGTGTTGTCGCAGAAAAGGTCCGTTGGTTGATCTTGTTTGATCCCAAAGTCAGTTAGAAGACGATGAAGCCATACTATGTTTGCCGTGAGAGCTGCTAACGCTCTGTACTCTGATTCGGTAGATGACCGAGCTACAATAGTTTGCTTTTTGACAGTCCACGATATGAGTGTGTCCTCTAAGAAGGAGCAATACCTTGAAGTTGATTTTCTTGAGATGAGATCGCTTGCCCAGTCATCATCTGAAAAGGACATTAAACACAAATTAGATTTTGTAATAGGTATTCCATAATCAATCGTACCTTTTATATAACGTCGTAGCCGCTTTAGGAGATAGGTATGTTGATGCATAGGTTGATGCATATGTTGAGAGAGAAGGTTGACACTGTATGAGATGTCCGGTCATGTGAGACACAAATATTGAAGTGAGTCAGTAATCTTGCTGGTATGTGGTTGAATCAGCCATGATTACGCCCGAGGGGAATTCTTGAGGAAGCTTGGTGCACGTCTAATTTGATAGTGGATTGCAGTTTGTTAGTTGTGCTACCTGCAAAATGGAGTTCGCATATGGCTTTTGGGAGAGGAAATAGTGATCTGGTGTTCTCGTGATTTGAATATGAAGAAATGAATTGGCTTCACCAAGATATTTCATTGTGAACCAAGTATTCAGCCGAGTTATGATTTTGCTAATTTCCTCTGAGTTATTTCCCGTGATAAGAATATCATCGACATAAATGAGCAAAAATATATTGATGTTTGACTTATTAAATATAATAAGAGACTGGTTTGATTTACTATGAGTAAACTAGATAGATACCAAAAAAGATGTGAAAGTATTGTACCATTGACGGGGTGCCTGTTTAAGGCCGCAAATAGCCTTGTGAAGAAGACATACATGATTGGGATTGGTAGCATCTTCAAATCCTTTTGGTTGAAGCATGTAAACGGTTTCAGATAACGATTCATAAAGAAACACGTTGTCGACATCCAGTTGTTGAACTTGCCAGTTGTTATGCAACACAATGGCAAGAAGTATGTGTATCATAGGTAGTTTTGCAACTAGACTGAACGTCTCCGTGTAGTCTAGCACATATTCTTGATGGTTACCTTGCGCGACGAGATGGGATTTGTATTTGCTATCGATCCATCCGAATGAAGTTTGGTGCGATATGTCCACTTGCACCCCAAAACGGATGAGTCTGTTGGCCGCGAAATGAGGCTCCATGTGCCTTGTTTTTGTACTGCAAAAAATTCAGCGGCCATTGCTTGTCTCCATTCTGAGTACCTGCTAGCTTCTTTATAATTTAATGGATCAGATGGGCAATCTGGAACATGCTTGTGGTGAATAAAGTTTAGACGAGTGATGGGTTTTATGGAACCCGTCTTATATCTGATGAGCATCGGATGAGTAGATGACTGCGTCGTGGATGGCTTAGAAATGAGAGGTTGAGGCTAAGAAATATTGGAATTAGAGTGTTATGGAGCAGAAACAAACGTGTGTATCGGTACAGAGTGCTCATTTGAAGCTCTGGAATGGGTTGTATGCACATTATTTTTCTGAACAACTGATGTAGGTGTAAGAAAGATAGGAGATAACTGTTCAGACACCAGCTGGTTATCAGAATTGATGTTAAGAAAAGGAAAACAAGTTTCATCAAATGTAACATGGCGAGAAAAAATTATTTTGTGACTGTTGAGGTCTAAACACTTATAACCCTTATATGTATCCGAGTATCCCAAGAACACACATAATTGAGATTTTGGTTGAAGTTTGTGACGGAGAGGGGTCGGGTTAGAGGGAAGCAAGCCCAGCTGAATGTAAGCAAGTGACCATAATCGGGAGAGATGTTGTGTAAGAGTTCAAACGGAGAAATGCTGTTAGTATTAGGAGATGGCATTTTGTTTATGAGATAGGTGGTTGTTAGAGCAGCATCGGGCCAATATGTGTACGAGACGGAGGCAGTATATAGGAGGGTGCTGGTAGTCTCAAGGAGATGCCTGTGCTTCCGTTCTACAATGCCATTTTGTTCGGGTGTGTATGGGCAGAAGATCTGATGAGATATGTCATGATGTTGAAGTAACCGAACGAATGAATTGCTTAAGAATTCACCACCTCCATCTGTTCTTATGCATTTAATTTTGTGAGATGTGAAGTTTTCTATATAAGATTTAAATGTAGTAAAAATATTAAGCACTTCCGATTTTGCCGCATTAGAAACAACAAGGTGAATCTCGCGTAATCATCTATGCATATAACATAATAGAGAAAAACATAATTAGATGACATGGGAGCAGGACCCCACACGTCAGGGTGAATTAATTCAAGAAATGATTTAGCTCTATTGTGGGAAGGTTCAAACAAAAGCTTATAACTCTTTGCCTTATTACAAGAATGACAGATGTTTGTTTTAGTATCTATATGAAACCGAGAGTTACAAGAAGCAATGGTATGAAGAATTCGCTAACTAGGATGACCCAATATATTGTGCCATAGATTGGTGCAGTTACTGGACGCGTAAAGAGCGTGCTGCTTGGAGGTCGTTGGGGTCCGAATGGGGTAAAGTCCGTCACGGCAAGGTCCTTGAAAGATGACTTGATGAGTCGTCAGATCCTTAAACACAAAACCAGAGGGATTAAATATGATAGCAATGTTATTATCCTTCGTTAGTTGGTAAATAGAAAGCAAATTATAATGAAGTGCGGGAGAATGAAGAATATAATATAGATTTAGCTTACGAGAGGGAGTCGATAGCAAGCCTTTGCTAGAATTTGCTATGCTAACCGAACTCTCGTCACCAATGGTGATATCCAGCTCGTTGTAAGGATTGGATATGGAAAGATTATCCAGAGATTTCGTCAAATGGGAAGATGCGCCCGAGTCAAGATACTAGTCAGTGTATGCTGAAGATGGTTCTGCCGCAAACGCTCCGTTCGACTGTCTGGGTTTTAGTACATACTGAGCATTCATCCTATGCCAACAATCAGTTGCTATGTGACCCTTCTTTATACAAAATTGATAGACGGTAGGAGCATTGGATGATGATTCTTTGGTGGAATTGGTAGTTCCGTAAGATCTGCCTCTACCACGTCGACCATGGACTCGATTTGAGAACAAAGCAGCATTGGAACCTTCGAGCAGGGCTAGATGTGCTGCATCCGATGCAATATGAATTTCTTCAGTGATGAGGAAGGAGTTCAGTTAATCAAGATTGAGAGGTTGAGTCATGGTTCGAATAGATGTTTTGAAGGATTGATAAGTATGTGGAAGGCCATTTAGGATGTAAAGAATTATGTCCTCCTCATCTATTTGAGCCCCAATAATAGCGATTTGATCAACGAGGTACTTGATTTCATTTAGGTATTGAACCATAGTCGGATTCTTGAGTGAAATCTGATGAAGTTCATTCTTAAGTTGAATGACTTTGGATCTATTCGTGGATTGAAACCGAGTTTGAAGGGTTGTCCAGATGGCCGAAGTGGATTCAAGATTTAGAACGTAAGGTAGAATGGAAGCATATATGGTGGAGCATATGGCTGCAGTGAGGTTTTGATCATTGAGAAGTCATTGGGCATAGGAGGGATTTGGGATAGTCGTATCGTCGGATCGGTGACAAATCTTGTCGGGAACGGGATATTGGGGATCAAGAAGTGAATCAAGACCACATGCTCGACAGATTTTGAGAATCTGAGACTGCCAAAGTGGATAGTTGTCCGGAGAGAGGGGATTTT